TTATATTAAAATGTCGGACAATCCGTGTCTTATCGAAAAACACATCCCTTTCCGTACAGATAGTAATCGGCGGTAAATCCAAGCCCTCAGAGGGTTTGATATCAAACTTATAGACATACGGATAGTGTAGGAAATCTGCGGTTATCTCAAAGCCCTCGTAACATAATATTGAAAAACAAAATACTTTCAAAACTAATAAATATTTTGTTTTTAAGTTAGTATTTATAAAACAAAATTATAGACATACGGATAGTGTAGGAAATCTGCGGTTATCTCAAAGCCCTCGTAACATAATATTGAAAAACAAAATACTTTCAAAACTAGTAAATATTTTGTTTTTAAGTTAGTATTTATAAAACAAAATATTTTCATTACAACTATACTTAAACTGATTATAATATATTTGATTAATAAATAGGTTTTCATTGCAAATATATTTAGCAAATCCATTGTATATTTCAAATATAGTTAGATTAAGGTTATGAGATATATATAACTTTTTATTATTTGTTATGATTTAAATTGCATCTACTTTAATCTAAATTACTATAGAAACCAAACCTAACCAGCAACAAATAACAATTTGTACCAGGAATATCAGTTCTATCCAATATATAATATTTATTAATATTATTTTGTTTACAAAAGTTTCACAATATCAATCATTAACTATTAATATATTACTATGGTGATTATAATTACACATTGTTTGGTATCTCACATGTTATGAAATATTATCATTACAATCGATATTAACTATATAATCATTAATATAGAGTCAGGGAATATTGAGGATATATTTAATTATTAATTATTCAATTATTGTAACACATCCCTGGTTCATAAAAAATTTAAATGTATTCATTATTCTCGTTCAAAACACATCTAATTGTATTCCTAACTATTATTTCATAATTTTCTTTTTAAAATCTATATTTTCCATGTAATATTAATTTAATTTACAAATTATACTAGGATTATATGTCAATTTGAATTATCAAGCGTATGTAGAAATAAAAATTATATTTAGTACATACCTTAATATTGTCTAAATGTATCATTAGTAAATTACTATTTTATACCGAATTCACTATAATTTTAATAAAATCTTTGTTTTATTATATTTAAATATTCAATTTAATCTCAATATTATTGTATAAATATGAGTTTCATATGATATTGGTTTTATAATAGTGTTCATAAAATATCAATTATTTTAATATGATTTGTTATACAAATATAATTGCATTAAAAATTTTATTTAATTATAGAAAGTAAGATATTATTTACATTTTTATTATTTCATTAATAGAATTGAGTTATCAATAGGCAAACAATTATTAGTAATACTCATTTAAATTGTCTCTAATTTAAAATAATATATTTGGTACAAAATGCACTTGTTGCTATTCATTTGACCTATGAAATCATTGAAATACTTTTAATTAGATGTTTAAATTATTTAATTAATGGATCGTGATTTAATCCCGTAAATATTTTCTTATAATTTATTATGCACATGGTCATTGATTTTTAGTAGAAATGTGACATTAAACTAATAAAATTATTTATTTATTTAGCAGCTATACTTAACATACTAGATGACAATAATATTATTTTGATAAATTCTGCTAGAACAATCAAAATAGTTTTTTGTGAAGTTATTATTGTCCAAAACGAGGCTTAATTTGAAAGTATGCCTCATAAATATGATTTTAAAAAATCATTGAAAAACTGATCATCATGCATTAGTTGGGTTGAAATTAATTCAACACTTGTCTCATTAAGAATATTCCGATCGATAGCCCAATCACTATAGTTATTCAAAACCTGCGAACAGTCAGGCCTTCCAGTCCACTGAGGGGATGACATCATTGCCAGCAATATGTTATGCAATTCATCTACTTTTGTGTTTAGGATTTCATTTGCAGTGTAAAGGCTTTCAGAACTATATTTATAAAAAAATTAATTTCTTCATTTAAATTTAATAAACATATTTAAACATACTTATCAGGGTAAAAGATAAACATGTCAAAATCAAATATTTCTGAACCAATTAATGCGAGACTATAAATATCAGCTTTATGTCAATATTTATCACCCCGTGCTATTTCTGGAGCTTGTTACTTTATAGTGGACATATGAACAAAAAATAGTGGACAAATAGTGGACAAAAACATTTTTGTGAAAATCAATTGCAATTACTTAAATTTATATTTTTCAATTGATTTGACAGATTGACGCAATTTTATAAAAATGTATTAAATTCATATGGATTTAATATTTATACATATTTTTGTACAAATTCGTTAAATTGTATTTTAAATCACATTTTATTGCAAACATTAAGGCATACAGTTCCGAAAATGGAAATTAGTTTAGTTTGTGTTTTATTGATATTTTAAAATATATCATACCCTAATATTTCTACAAACTTTATATAATTTATACTTTCAATGCATTCAATGTCCACTATTTACCCTTCAAAGTACACTGGACAAATACATTAAATAGTGGACACTGAAATAGAGGACAGTTGGCCAGTCTGAGTATATTTAATATAAAATGTACACAAAATTAATAACTAGTAATTGTACAAATTTATTATATAACAAATTGTTTGGTTTATTCCTTATAATTTGGTTTTAATAAAATATAAATAAAATTCCAAACTCTAAAAATTCACTGTATTAATAACATTTGTTTGACACATTAAGCCATCTATTGGTTAAATAATTTTCTACTTAAGTTGAGAGTTAATTGATAAATGAAATTTAAGTTAAATTTAAATGATTGATCAATTAAATGAATATAACAAGATAAAATAGTAGCAAGATTAATTTATTTTTATAATTAAAATATAATGTTATAACATCTATTGCAAATAAATCCAAAAATTTATCTATTTCAGTTCCAATTTTAGAGTAATTAATTTCCTAATTAATAATATACTGTGGTAATATTATAAATACTCTACAATTAATAATTTCATATATAATTTTAAAAAACTTATTAAACTTAAAAGATCAAGTACACATTTACATTTATCTCATAAAGATAATTTTATAAAACAGAATACTAAATAGGTTAAATATAATTAATTTTATATACTTTGTTTAAATTTGCTTGTAATACATTAATGAAAAACGGATCATGCTGCTTTAATTTGGACAGTGTCAATTCAATATTATAGTCCTTAAGAATATTGTGATCGATAGTCCAATCATTAGATTTATTCAATACTAGTGAACAGTCGGGCCTTTTCGTATAAAACGGTAATATCATTGACTGCAATATCTTTTGCAATGAAATTACTTTTGTGTTTAGAATTTCATTCCCAGAGTAAATGCTTTCAGAACTATATTTTGAAATATGAATTAATTAATTAAAATTTATATTCTATTGTATAATTAAATTCATGCATACTTATCAGGGTCGGTAAAAAATAAATCCAATTCAAATATTTCGGACCCAATTATTGCCAGACTATAAATGTCTACTTTATGTCCATATTTGTTTCCCTGAGATATTTCAGGTGCTTGGTACTTTATTGTGACCACACCTGTAGAATGTTTTTCACGAGTCATATCATTGAGTCCTTTGTCGTAAACTGTAGCCAAACCAAATTCACATAACTTAATAAATATACCGTTCCTTACATTCTCAGCGATTAATATGTTTTCTGGTTTGAGGTCTCTGTGAATGATCTGTGGATTCAATTCATGCAAATACTGAACACTTTCTAAGACGGAATTTGACGGAATTCTAAGTCTTTCTAATTTTGACGGAATATTTCACACGAAATGAAATACTCGACACAAGCCATGGCTACCCCTTTCTTGTCGATCAAATACTTGTGGTTTCATTTTAAAAATATTCCTTAAATTCTGTGAACAAAACTCCATTTGAATGTAGAATTTGCTTTCAGGCCATGAGTTGCAATAATGGACCACATATTTTGAGCGAAATTTTATTAAATTCTTCACTTCATTATAAAACCTTTGCAAGTATTCTTCAGCTTCTTCTAATTTGTATTTCAAAATTAATAAAACTGTTTTATTTAGTTATCTATTTACCATTAATCTCAACATTTTAGAGGGCATATATGTGTTCTTCCAATCTATGCTTGACTTTAAATACAGTCCCAACCCCTTCCGAACCGATGGCCGACAACTCAATGAACAGACTTTTGTAATGAGTTTTAACCATATCAGGCAATAATTGGAAACATCGAGGCATGAACCTAAATTGAATGGTTATGATTGCCATAAATAGTTAGCCAGTAACATAATTAACATCTTCAATTGATTAAACTTGGCGAATAAAATAAATTAGCTTGTTGAATTCACTTTCAACCATTGCTGACATCCTCATTTTGTAATTGAAATCGCATAAGTTTTGTCAACAGGACATGACATGATTGTCATTTGCTATGTCATCAAACATAAGATAATTCCGTGAAATTATTACCGATATATGAACACAAAATACTAGTATAACATTGTATACAATAAGATCTATTGTTATTTTAATGACAAAATGAGGATGTCAGCAATGGTTGTAAGTGAATTCAACAAGCTAATTTATTTTATTCGGTCAATTTATTAAATTTAGGTTCGTGCTGTGATGTTCCCAACTAAGATAAATGCTTAACCTTCAGTATGTTTAAAAAAATTATATTCAATGTTTTATTTGACTCAAATGTTATTCATTTGCATTACATTCCAAATTAGTTACATATCATATCATATTATATATCATATTTATTTATTTAACATCGATTCAATTGTGTAGACTTTATAATGTTGTGATAGTAATCCCTTTATTCCACAATGAGTACTATAAAGGGGATCACAGTGTTGTGTATGTTGTCTGTGTATATGTTGTATGTGTTGAGTATCGACCATTGCTGTCAGTCGATACCCCTTTCTTGTGCAGCAAATCCGGATTCTCTCACATTCTCTCATCAGCCCATCTCATAATATCAGCCCATCCCAATCTCACTTTTCTATCTTGTTCATATGTTGTTGTTGAACTTAATAAATTATAAACATTTTTAGTATTTTAAAAGTACAGAAAATAGAGAAATTTGTTTATAACCTGTAAACAATTTAGTAATTTTTAATATTGGATAACAATATCACTTCTACGAAATTGTATATTTTTAGTCAATTAATAGTAATAAATTCATATTTTGTCTAACAAATTATATTTACGGTATTTATAATTTTTTAAATACTTTTCCTTAACTTTTCTTTTAAAATCCTTCTCATATCAGGTGTTATCTCATGAGACGAAGCACCGGTAGTTTCAGCTATTAATTGAATTAAAAAATATTAATTGAATTTTTGCTAATACAATTTATATACTGTTATAAGCAAAAAATTTAATTAGAAATAATACCATCGTTTGAAACAGTATTTAATGAGATTAATAGATTAATACAAACAAAGAGATTAATAAATATTCATACTATTAATCAAAATGAAAATTATGTTTCAAACAAAATATCATAGTCACTTTTAATTCATTAAATACTAGTGTTTGGAATAGTTAATAAGTTTACTAATATTTTAAAACACTAATCAAAATACAAATCCTCAAAGGATTTTGAAAATTTTGGATGTCTCTGGTTGTATTTACATTTCCGTTCTTTTAAAATCCTTAACAGTGTTATGTGACGAGACGAAGCACCGGTAGTTTTAGCTATTAATTGAATTTAAAAATATTAATTGAATTTGTGCTAATACAATTTATATACTGTTATAAGCAAAAAATTTAATTAGAAATAATACCATCGTGTGAAACAGTATTTAATGATTCATTTAATTGCGGTTTTGTATCATCAGAATCGGTGGCTATAGACGGGTCAAGTGCTATGCTATGAGACGAAGCACCGGGAGTTTGACCTATTAATACAAATTTTAAAATTTAGTTTTACCTCAATATAATTGAAAATAGTTACCTTCATTGCAACAGTCAGTGTCACGTGATATATCATCTGATGATTGATCCGAGTTTGGCATTAATTTGGGTCCCGTTTCAAGTGCTATGCTATGAGACGAAGCACCGGGAGTTTCAGCTATTAATAAAAATTAGAAACCTATTTATACCAGGACATTTAATTACAGAAATACTACCCTCATTTGAATTGTCAGTTTCGTGTGACATAGCATGTGATGACTGATCCATTAATTGCTGTTCACTTTCACCAGAAACGGTGATATCGTTTGTGTTTATGCGTAACGTATTGTAACTCATATTGTGTTCATTGGCGTAATAGTCAATGAAATTATCATAACAATATTCTTTCAGTTTATACGGCGATATGCTTGCACACTTTACTATCATTCAGTATAATCAACGGATTGATCTCAACGTGTGTATATTGTGTTCATTGGCGTAATAGTCAATGAAATTATCATAACAATATTCTTTCAGTTTATACGGCGATATGATCTTGCACACTTTACTATCATTCAGTATAATCAACGGATTGATCTCAACGTGTGAATAAAGTCCACTAAACTGTTGGACATTCAATTTTAACGGTATTTGCAGCGGTGTTGCTTGCTCACAAATTTCGTTAGCCGTATCCATATATTGGCCGCAAAAATACACGTCATTAGCGTCGGACAGAAAACCGATAACAAGATTGAAATGAGTACTGCCATAGGATGCGCCGATTGATTGGATGCCATTTAAGTCCGGGATCAGTTTGGGTGACCAGTATGCCAGCGACCTATCATTGCCTAATTGGTGGTACACATTATCACCCCAACTGAATACCATACTATTGATAGTAATGGCAAATGATGTGTGATAGATGCAATATATACTCTTGATTTCAGAGTTATTTAAAAATTGTAGCAAAACTGGTGAATCGACCTGGTCCCGTTTCCCATCACCACAACCAACTTGTCCCAAATAATTACTGCCCCACCCGTACACCTGTCCACCGGTGCTGAGGGCCAGGGAGTGGTGACTACCGGAACATATATGCGATATATTCTTGTCGTTCAAATACGAGATGTTTTCCGGTTTTACATAAACACCATATTGTGTCACATCTCTAGCACACTGCCCCTGGTTATTGTGTCCCCAACTGAACACATGGTGGTCCTCATTCATAGCCAACACAAAGGTCCCGCCATTTATGAATTGCTGGATCCGTTGACCGCATAATTCGGGTATAATTTGTGGAGTTTTGACGGCTATATTGTGACCCAAACCCAGACACCCGTGAAAGTTATCGCCCGTACCATAGACATCGTCATCGGTGGTCACAAACAGTATATTCCGACCATTACTGAAGACATGAAATAATTTNACTGAAGACATGAAATAATTTAATTTTACTTTTCATAGTCGTGTCGATCGTATCGCAAATGCGAAACTTATCCAAAAGTGTACACATTTTTAATGAATTAATTTGTGTAAAATATTTAAGACATGAATGTGTAAATCAAATGTGAAATGATGTAACATTCAGACATTAAATGTAATCAATTTTGAAATGTGATATATCTAAACTTTGATCAGAGTAAATATACGATAAGCTTATTATTTAAACATAAATTAAGACTACTATATTCTGGGTAATAATCCGCAAAGCCTATTATTGAGCATTATTAAATATTATTTAGTATTTATTACATACTGTTTAATGTATTTAAAATTTTTATGTTTATCATGTTTAGCATAGTAATATAATATATACAAGTACAGTAGTACAGTATTATAAATTACATTTTTACTGGATGTTTTATTTGACAACATTTCTATTGCTATTATTCATAGCCTACTGTATTCATATAATTATCTCAATAGGCAATCATGACATACTGTACAAGGTTAGTACAGGATTTTATGTACTAGTATGTTGTTGAAATTAATATAAATTTTTATTTAGTATTTTAAATTTAACTGTACAGTAAATACAAAAATCGTTTTATAATTTATAAACAATTTAGTAGTATTTAATATAACAATATAATTTCTACGAAATTGTACAGGTATATTTTTAAATCAACTAATACTAATAAATTCATATTTTGTCAAACAAATTATTTTTACTGTATTTATAATTATAATCAAATCAAATGTAAATTTATTGTTTAGTTTTACTATTTTGAGCCAATTTTTCAAACTTTTCTCTCAAACTACTTATACTTCCAGTCGAGGCATACGAGACATTATCAGGTGTTATCTCACGAGTCAAAGCACCGGTAGTTACAGCTATTAATTGAATTAAAAATAATAATAGTTTACACCTTGTTAATAAGATTTATGTACAAACAATAATACCATCGTGTGAAATAGTATTTAATGATTGATTTAATTGCTGGTTTGTATCATCAGAATCGGCGACTATATTAGAGTCAAGTGGTATGGTATGAGTTGAAGCACTGGTAGTTTCAGCTATAAATAAAAATTAAAAACCTATTTATACCATGACAGTTAATTTTACAAATACTACCCTCATTTGAATTGTCAGTTTCATGTGACATAGCATGTGATGACTGATCCATTAATTTCTGTCCACTTTCACCAGAAACGGTGATATCGCTCGCGTTTACGTGTAATGTATTGTAACTTATGTTGTGTTCATTGGCGTAATAGTCAACGAAATTATCATAAGAATATTCTTTCAGTTTATACGGCGAAATGATCTTGCACACTTTATTATCTTTTAGTATAATTAACGGATTGCCCTCAAGGTGTGAGTGAAGTGAACGAAACTGTTGGACATTTAACTGTAACGGTATTTCCATCGGTGTTGCTTGCTTACATATTTTGTTAGCCGTATCCATGTATTGGCCGCAAAAATACACGTCATTCGTATCGGACAGAAAAGCGATCACTAAATTGATATTAGCGTTGGAGGCGTCGATTGATTGGATGCCATTTAAGTCCGGGATCAGTTTGGGTGACCAGTATGCCAGCGAATTATTATCGCCCAATTGGTGGTACATATTTCGGCCCCAACACGACACCATACCATCGACAGTAATGGCAAATGAGCTTGTATCAATGCAAAATATACTCTTGATTTCGTAGTAATTTAAAAATTGTAGCAAAACTGGTGAATCGACTCGCTTTCGTTCATCACCGCAACCTACTTGTCCACAATAATTCCAGCCCCACCCGTACACCTGTCCACCGGTGGTGAGGGCCAGGGAGTGATTGAAACCGCAACATATGTGCGATATATTCTTGTCATTCAAATATGAGATCTTTTCGGGCTTTAAATGAACCCCTTCTGGTGTGACATCTCGACCGCACTGTCCGTTATCATTGTGTCCCCAACTGAACACATGGTTGTCCTCATTCATAGCCAACACAAAGTCCGAGCCATTAATAAACTGTTGGATCCGTTGACCGCATAACTCGGGTATAATTAGCGGTGTTTTCACTTCCGTGTTGTGACCCAAACCCAGACACCCGTTATAATTACGGCCCAAACCATAGACGGTGTCATAAATGGTCACAAAAAGCATATCATAGCCATCATTGAAGACATGAAATAAATTGATTTTACTTTTCACAGTCTCGTCGATCGTATCGCAAATGCGAAACTTATTGAAAATTGTAGACATTTTCAATGAATTAATTTCGTGTAAAACAGTTAAGACATGAATGTGTAAATCAAATGTGAAATTATGCTAACATTCACAGACTGTGAATCACAGTCAGACATAAAATGTAATCAATATCTAAACTTTGATCAGGGTAAATATGCGATAAGCATATTATTTAAACATGAATTATGATTACTATATTCTGGGTTATAATCTGCAACGCATATTATTGAGTATTATTAAATACTGTCTAATGTATTTCAAATTTTTATGTTTATCATGTTTAGCATAGTATAATAGTACAGTAGTACAGTATTATAAATTACATTTTGACTGGGTATTTTATTTGATAACATTTCCATTGCTATTATTCATAGCCTATTAATATAATTATCTCAATTGGCAATCATGACATACAAAGTTAGTACAGTACGATAAATTGTACTTGTATAATTGTACAGTGCAAAAACTTGCGTGTGTTGTTGAACTTAATAAAAATTTTTATTTAGTATAATATTTGAACAGTACAGTAAATACAGAAATGGGTTTATAATTTATACACAATTTAGTAGTATTTCATATAACAATATAATTTCTACAAAAATCTATATTTTTAGTCGAATAATAGTAATAAATTAATATTTTGTCAAACAAAATACTTTTACTGTCTATCAAATCAAATGTAAACTTATTTTTTCAAATTCGCTATTTTGAGCCAATTTTGTCAAACTTTTCTCTCAAACTCTATATTCATGCGATCGAGACATTATCAGGTTGATCCGAGTTTGGCATTAATTGGGGTCCGGTTTCAATGTAATTTGTATGACACATATTTACGCGTCATTTCATAAGCTTATTTTATTTTGTTATTTTTGTCAAATTATATTGACAATTTGTAAACTCTTGACATGGTGTTTACTATAATCTATTTGAGTATTCATATGTGCGGGTATTTTATTGATTATAAATAACATGAATTCCGTTATTAGAAATATATCGATGATAATGATTATAAACCCAAACCATTAACCGACACTCAATCATCCAAATAACAAAAATTATTGCCATTTGTGTCAAACAGAGGGCGCACTCATCATAATAATCGCATTACCGATACAATCAGCTGTTTGGCTGTCGGTTCGCTAAAACCCGTACTCTTTCGAGTCCGTCACCACAAGTAGTCATCGGTTTACGACAAGTATTCAGATATTTTCTATGGATTATGAATGACATGAACTCTATTATCACGAATGAGACGATCGTATTGATTGTAAACCCAAACCCAGAATCGACTCTCAATTAACCAAATAACAAAGTCTTTGCCATTNACAGTACGATAAATTGTACTTGTATAATTGTACAGTGCAAAAACTTGCGTGTGTTGTTGAACTTAATAAAAATTTTTATTTAGTATAATATTTGAACAGTACAGTAAATACAGAAATGGGTTTATAATTTATACACAATTTAGTAGTATTTCATATAACAATATAATTTCTACAAAAATCTATATTTTTAGTCGAATAATAGTAATAAATTAATATTTTGTCAAACAAAATACTTTTACTGTCTATCAAATCAAATGTAAACTTATTTTTTCAAATTCGCTATTTTGAGCCAATTTTGTCAAACTTTTCTCTCAAACTCTATATTCATGCGATCGAGACATTATCAGGTTGATCCGAGTTTGGCATTAATTGGGGTCCGGTTTCAATGTAATTTGTATGACACATATTTACGCGTCATTTCATAAGCTT